AAGTAATGGAAATAGGGAGAATCTACCGCTGAGCAAAGAATTTTTGCTTGCAAAAGTCATCCTAGTTATTTGAAAAAGAATAACTTTAGAGGATCAGCTCAAGTTATTTTCATAATTAACGAACTAGTTAGAACGTCCACACAAAGATTATCTGTTTATTGCTGTTACCAAAAGGTCAGACTAAAAGAAATTACTTCAGCTTGTTTACATGGGGAGAGCGATGGTCGGAAAACCGGCGCCAGAATTTTCTGCCGACAGTGTGTCTGACTTGGATTTCACCACAGTTTCTCTGTCCGATTACAATGGCCGTTATATTATCCTGTTGTTCTATCCCAATGATTTGTATGATTTTCCATTAGTTTTTATCCAAAAGACACTGAAGAAAAAAACCTTAGTACAACAGACTTAGACCTTAAGAATTCCGCGGGTTTTTGATATTCGGCTGTCCAATAAGATGTGTGCAATCAAATAAGCATTAATTTCAGCTCACGCATTTGTTCGGCAGAATTACTGGCTTTCTCGAACGAAATGGATCAGTTTAAGGCACTTGGTTGTTCAATCTTGGCCATTTCAACAGATTCAAAGTTCGCACATTTTGCATGGTCGTCACAGCCAACAAATGTTGGTGGCGTAAACGGCATTAGATATCCTTTGTGTGCAGACAAAAATTATATGATTTCTCGCGAATATGGCGTTATGAATGAAGATGAAGGCACTTCACACAGGTTTTTAACAACAATTTTTTTTGCTGCCCCTGAAATTAAAACAACTGAAGTTGCCCCCACAAACATTACAATGTCAGACAGCTGTAATTCATAAACGTTTGGTCCTGTTCTAGTTCACTCTTTTTTTCCTTCTTTTTAGGGGCCTTTTTGTTATTGACAGCGCTGGAGTGATCAGATTCATGTCTGTAAATGACTTGTGTATAGAACGCTCCGTTGACGAAGTGATAAGGATTGTAAGCGCTATACAGTATGCGGATAAATACGGGACGGTAAGTATTGTTTTTATTGACCGCCGTTGTCCAAAAAAGGTTGCATGTCTGGCAAGAAGCGATTGTTCAGTAAACTATAGAGTTTACGGCAGATCAACTGAACAACATCTGTTTTTGTTACTGCTGCTGCTGTTGATGTTGAAAGTGGATTTCAAATTGATCTGATGTGATTTTCTGATACATTACTTGTTGTTGTAGCAATCTGTAAAAAACGATAGGTGATTTCTGATATTCGGCCGTGGAAAAAAATCTTGTTTTTTTTTTCGCTTTTTATGAAAATTACTAGGCATTAAAGTAGCAGATTTTCGTCGATATGACATTATGTGATATATTTTAGACATGTCCAGCTGACTGGAAACCAAGAAAATTAACTTTAACCACAGAATCAAAAGCTCCTTTGAAGACGGATGTAAAGAACAAAGAAAATCACCGGAAATAATTACTGTACGTTATCGTTTTGTGCTAAAACGCAAAGTAAAAAATCCCATACATATATACCTAATTCAGTTACAGTTACACGTCAACACACACACACACACACACACACACACACACACACACACAGCACCACAGACACACACAGAGACACACACAGAGACACACACACACACACACACACACACACACACACACACACACACACACATACTATAAGCACAAAAACAGATACATATATATATCCATAGCAACAACAACAAGTTTATTAGTCTTACGATTTTAATTCTCTTAACATTACTGAAAACAATTTTGGCTGATGTATCATACATATATGTTGACTGCAAACAGATATAAGTTTCCCAATAAATCTCTTATTTCTTTCTTTTTTTTTTCACCTATAAAATTTAA